TGACTCGGAGCGGCTGCTACTCAGGAAGACGAGGAAACAGGCATCGGGAGCTTATCTGGGGTCTAGTCCAGGAGCTGGGAAACCGGCCCAGATCCGGCACCCTCTGTTCCTGAAAGGCAGCAGTTAGAGTGCATGAGATGCTAGAGAACACCGACCTTGACCCCGTGAGCCGAGGCAGAGCGGACCTGCTCCCCGACCCGAGCAGTGGGCCTGTGTGTCCATCGCAGTGAAACTTCTTCACCAAGTCCCAAACCCAGCACTGCCCTCAGCCGAAGGCCAGGGGAAGGTAGAAGGACAGAAGTTCCTGCCAGGCCCCAGGGAAAGCTCGGAGGATCCACCCCGCAGAGGAATGTGCGGGACTGTCTCCTGGCGCGGGACACGGTTCCGACCACTGTTCATGACTTAACCGGATCAGCATACAATTTAATTCATTACCTCATGTGCTAAGAGGGAGAAAATAATATACCTGAGAAATAATATACTTGATAGGACTGAGAAAGTCTATCATAAAAAATAGTGAAGGGAAAATATTAGTAATTTAAAGGCATAAGTTATGTTATTTAATTCATTTGAAATGTTTATCTCCCAAGAACTCAGGTAAATAAGATGTGATGTCGACAGACATTTCTACTGTCCTGGCAGATTCTTTTTTTTTTATCCTCACCCAAGGACATTTTTTCCATTTTTTGTTCAGGTAAAGTGGGAGGGAGAGAAAGGAACAGAGAGAGAGAGAGAAACATCGACGTGAAAGGGACACATCGAGTGGTTGCCACCCACACAACCGACCAGGGCCGGGGACAAACTGCAACCAAGGTACGTGCCCTTAGCGGGAACCGAACCCGGGCCTCTCAGGACCGCAGGTCGACGCTCTAACCGCTGAGCCAAACTGGCCAGGGCATTTTTTTTTTTTTAATATATATTTTTTTAATTGATTTTTAGAGAGAGAGGAAGGGAGAGATAGAAACACTGATGTGAGTCCTGGCCGGTTTGGCTCAGCGGTTAGAGTGTCGGCCTGCGGTCCAGGGAGTCCCAGGTTTGGTTCCGCTAAGGGCACATACCTCGATTGCAGTTTGTCCCCGGCCCTGGTTGGGTCATGCAGGTGGCAGCCACTCTGATGTATCCCCTTCACATAGATGTTTCTCTCTCTCTCTCTTCCTTTCTCTCTCTCTCCCTCTCCTTCTCCCCCTCCCACTCTATCTGAACAACAAATGGAAAAATGGCCTCAGGTGAGGATAAAAAAAAACAAGAGAGAAAAACATTGATGTGAGACGGAAACATCCATCAGCTGCCTCCTGCACGCCCCCCACTGGGGATTGAGCCAGAAACCCGGGCATGTGTCCCGACCCTGACCGGCAATTGAACTGGGACCTCTTGATGCATGGGACAATGCTCAGTCCACCAAGCCACACCAGTCGCGGCCTACAGATGTTTTTAACCTAGTACTTATTTCCAAACTTATTTATGTTTTAAGGTTTTTGTTTTGTTTTGTTTTTTAGTAAGATTGTATTCTTATTAACAACCTTGTGGCAAAACTAGCCAGTCCTTGTCTGCTGGTCACAGATGTGGTTGTTTTATATGTAAGTGATGAGAAACCAGCTGAAGCTGCTTTAAGGAAAGACGGAGAGAGGGAGGGGTTTGGGAAAGGAACATGTTTGATGTAACTTTTGTGGGTTAGCCTTCTACCAATAACTGAACTTTGGACATAGGACCTGGTCTGCTAGGATTTGCCTGCACTAAAAAGAAACCGTTGATAAGACTGTATAAATTCTGAGCACCATACGGTTCTTCCCAACCCCACCAAAACTCATGAGCAGTTAAAGGGGTGGGATGCTCTCCAGTACCACCCAGAAAAGGCACTGAATGTGAGCATAAAATAACATATTTCCACTGAAAATAAAAACATGAATTACTCTTTGAATTCAGGAATATTTCAATGGTGATAGTTTCCTTAACCAGATAATTCTATATTCATTGGAATATATAAGCTAATTTGTTTATTAAGGAATAATATTTTTTAATGACAATAATTTCTACCTGTAGCATAAACAAATGTAAGCCCTTAGGACAACAGAAGAAATTACCAACACTATAGAATTTCTATAAACTCTTCAGAATTTCCCCACCTATGTTCTTTGGAAACATGACCAGATGTGTCACACACACAGTCACCCAGTCCTGTGGTCAAATAAAATTGGGAAACACTATTGACTAATCCCAGTCACACATTAGCATTTTTTCAAATGTGAGTTGCAGTAGAGATACCTGCTCAAATTTGTTTAATCCAGCATTTCCCAAAGTTAATGTCCTCAAAATTAACTACAGCAGTTCACTTCCTGCCCCGACTTGTGCCCCAAAGTGACTTCCAGAAGTCTGTGGAACGCGTCCCATGAAGCCAAGTTCCAGAGACACATGTAGTGGCTTCTATCTTCACAGATTTTGCTGTGAATCAATGTAAGAAATTTTGAGTGACAATTACACCCATTTAGATATAACTTCAACAAACTCCATAATTAGAAATAAAAAAAACGTAAATTTTTCAAAAGAAACTGTCTTTACCATCTACAAATGTTGGTGAGACCTATTTGGGTTTGGATCCAGTCCTATTACTTCCCAGTATGTCTAGTGTGGGTCATGGGTTCCAGGGCCTTATGTATTGGACAAGTCCAGTTAGTCACGGCTGAATTTTATATATGAACAAGCCTGACAATTTCAATAGAACAAAGGTTCTTGGAACTTTTTTTTTTTTTTTTGGTACATGCCTCCTGGGAACACCAGGCATGGAATGGAAGGCTCTGCATTTACATTCTGCACTGGGCAGATGGGGACCCGTGACCCTGAGGTGAGGATGCGAAGCGTGAACTTCGGGTGCGGCTCTCTACATGCAGTGGAAGGAACTTGACTGCACTCGTCCGTGAGCGTCCTGGCGCTACCTGGCAACGCGTTCCCTCCGGTCACACAGAGCGTCACCGCAGTTCCCACGCCGTGGGTATCGGCGGCTTAGGAGGATGAACTCAGACGCGGCTCTAGAGAAGCCGTGGAAAGTGTGATTGAAACAAAAACCTGACCCATTTAAGCTCGGTGGGCAAGTGAACAGAGAGGATATAGTCAAGACCACTTCTTAGATATATTTATCAGTGTATGTCGTAAAAGAATAAGTTTAATTCTCCAGGGAATATCATGGAGATTTCAGTCAGTGAGGCGTCTTTTCTGGAAATAACAGTACTGGGATTCTCACAGAGGTACCCACGCAGAGTGCACAGGGTGAATACAATCTAAAGGTTAGGTCACTTGTGCTGTAGATGTAGTTAAAATGTGATAAATTTGTTTTTTTTCTAATTCCCTAAAATATTCCATCCAGGGCCTCTCTCTGAAGCAGCCTGGCTCCTGGCCTGCTGGTGCCCCAAAATGCAGGGTCCACATGTGCATGCCATTGCTGAGCACACGGAGCTCCTGGGTGCTCCGGGTAGGACATTGTTTCCATAATGACAGTGACTATGACAATGATCTACAAACAGCTGCCGTGCACCATGGGCTGCCAAGCAAAAATTCTAGAATATTAATTTGAATGGTTTTCACAAGAGCACCATGTGGTAGCTGCTGTTATTCCCAGTGAACAGGTAGTTAAATTGGGGCACAGAGAGACCAAGTGACTTGTTCAAAATCACACAATTGGAAACGTGCAAAGAGGAGGTTCAAACTGGAGAAGTCTGGCTGAGTCCATGCTTGCGCTCCGGAGAACACCTGGGTGTATGGTTTTGTTGGTTGGGGCATTAGGTTCCAGAGCCAGCCATTCGGGATCTTTGCAGAATGTGAGAGGAGTGTTAACAGGCAAATGAGGGTCAGAAATCTGGGTGCAGGTCCTGTTGCTGACCTGCCAAGGTAAACAGCTCTGACTTCCAACTTACCTGCTTTCCATGTCCCCAGAAAATCCTCCTGTGCAGACAGAACATCTTTTACTTTTACACATTTTTAAGACATCACATAATAACATTTCTATGGGAAATATAAATAATTCAAATGACTGAAAAGAAAGGACTTGATTATTGTATATTACAATTTAAGAAGAAAAAAATCAAATTTAAGAAAAAGCTGACAATCTGACCAGGAGCATTACAGAAACTTTCTTGCTCATTTTCTCCAGAGGTTCAACCAGAATATTGTTAAGAGGGCAGAAGCTGAAGGCCTCGCTAGGGCATACAGGCGTGTTCTGTCTGACGCTTCCAAGGCAAACCCAGAACGCACCCAATCGTCTTATGTGTTGTATTAAAAACAGAAGAAGGCGGGAGCTGGCAACCTGGGTATATTAAGCTTTCATTATTATAAATTTATATTTTAAAACCCAGCATCTTTTTTGTAAATATGCAAGGGCTCAGTTGATAATTTGTAGTTTTTCCATTGAGTTTTAGATAGAGTGGATGGGGGGAGGAAGAGCATTGATGTGAGAGAGACCCTTCAGTTGGTTGTCTCCCACACGACCCAGACTGGGGCTGGGGGTCAAACCTGCAACCCAGGTACGTGCCCTTGACTGGGAATCAAACCTGTGACCCTTTGGTCCAAGGTCCGACGCTCTTACCCCTGAGCCACACTGGTCAGGGCTGCACTACCATTTTTGATAAGACAAACAATATTCAAAATTGGCATGAACTAAACACAACTGGCCAGCACTATGTGAAAAACCAAATGCTTTAATGAAGCTATCAAGAACAACAGTTCAATTATGTCATTGGATACATTAATTTTGACCCATAATATACAGTGCTGTGGGCCACAGAAAGTACTGCTGCATCCAACAGCAGATGACCACGTTACAGTACCAAGTGTCCGGAAGAGACAGTCATTTGTCTTTTTTTTTTTTTTTTTCAAGAAAGGGTTTTTTAATACACTGTTATCAATGTCAACTTTCCCCCAGTGCATTTTAAAAAATATTAATAAGTGCATTCTTTTGTGCTTTATTTTGTATCTTTTTACTTCCTATGTATTTTATTTGTTCTTATTGCTTTATTTAAAAAAAAAAACAAAACAGAAAGAACTTTGTCATCCTAGGTATCACCAGGTTGGTTGTATGGTTTTTGGCAAAGTCAGAAAGTTTGGTATTTCCATTACCTTACCCAGAGGCAGGCGCACAAGTTTGGCATTTTAGTCCCTCCAGATGGAGGCCCAACCCCAAGTCACAATTCTGCACCGAGGGATGGGGGAGTGGTGTGGATCAGTCTCTCGTCACAAAGGGCAAGCCCAAACCACCACCTCTTGGCTTAACTAGTTCCTAAAACAAATCCACACTCTATTTGGCAAAAAGAAATAAATAAAACCACTCCCCAGCTGCAGCATTCTCCTGGGCTTACTCACTCGCCACTCCCGGAAACTGTCCCTCGAGAAGGGTCTGGGGAGGCAGGCCATGGTGACTCAGGAGCTGCGAGACCCGGAGAGTGGTACAAGATGCCATGCTTTCTCCCAGAAAAGCTTTCTACGATCCACACAACCCGGCCCAGTTCCCTGCACCTGGGGTTAGCAAACCTTGCTCTATTTTTAAGAACCCTTCAAATCAGCTAAAGAAAACTAGCATCACACCATGTCAATCTTTGACTTTGGCATCCAGGCCCCTCCCCCCATATAAACGCGAAGAGAAAATGGACAATGCTATGATTGTATCAGTGAACACTATGGTAGTTAGCTGTTCGTGCACATCCATATCACTATTCTAGGAGAAGAGCTATCTATACAGTTAGGGGGGCTGAAAGAATGGGAACTAATTTCCCCTACCCCCTTAAGTGATAAAGCTATAAAACTGATAGCATCATCAGATTCCCGAGGATTCTCACTGCCCAGCGTGCGTGGGGCTATGCAGTGAAGCATTTCCATGTAAGCCATCCATTCATACATTTGGCAATCACTCCTCTCTGAACCCTCCCACACCCATCACCAATTCACATTTAAGTTCATTTACATTTTTTAAAAACCCTCCTGAATAAGGTTTCCTGATGAAAGAAGTTGGCACTCTGTCACTAAAATATATTTCATATTAAAAATATCTGAAGGAGAAGTGGAAGCTCGTACACTGTCCACAGAGCACCGCGCTCTTGCTCCTCTCCACCACGCCCCCCACGCCCCTGCGCACAGTTCAGTCGGTGCTGGGCCAGAGGCTGCTGCTGTATTTAAGGCACTTCACTCTGAAGGGTATGCTTCATGCCGCTTGCTGCTCAGGTGGAGGCTGCTGCTGAGGAGTTCCTTCGATGCCCGCTCCTCGCACCACACGCCACCTGGGGGAGACACCCAGCAGGACAGAACACGTGGGCGCTCGCTCTGCGGGCCCGCCGACCGGGAGACGGGCACGAGGCGGGCACGAGGCCCTGCACGGCTGTTGTCACAGGTCAGCAAGGACCCGTCACCTGCCAACACAGTGCTTCTCTCTCTGACAAAACTCAGCACGTTTGCTGAAATAAAACTCAATTTAAATGACCATAATGCGCATATTAACGCTATGGTTACCAGTCTCCAAGAATATTGCTATTTTTATATCACTAAAAATAAATATGTAAGTTTAATCTCCCTAGAAGACCAGTTTTACCTATTAATACTATGCCTTGAATGTGTGGAAAAACAGTTCTGAGTGAGACTGTGATTACAAAATATTCGCAAAGCTCTCAAACACAAGACCTTGCGTGAAAGTTTTCCTTCGTGTGTACAAAGAAAGCAGAAAACCACCAGTGGGTTGTAAAAATATTGAAAACTTGTCATTTTAAGATGCATATTCTTACAAATTAATACAAACATACTGAAAAGAATGATGATAATAAAGAATCTGTACAACTCAAATAAACAATAAAACATAATTAAAAATTAAAAATAGTTAAAGCCAATTGGAAATGTGCCCAGTTTGGTTTTCTTATCAAAAGCAAAATTGAAGAAAAAAATAGTGAAATATTCAGTGCTCCTCAATATTTTGCTTCACGAGGACATTGATTTTCATTTCAAAATAAAATATCTTTTGAAAAATGGAGTCATACTCATTGATGAGGAAAATGTAACAGTAGGGGGAGACCAGACGCCATGTTTCAGAGCCCTGGCCTGTCTCCCTGAAATTGCAGTGGTAAGTAACATATCAATGATTTTTCTCACCAGACACTCCTCATGACAATGGTTGCAGTTTTTCTTTTGCGGAATATAGTATTTCTTTAACTAGTTTGCATATAAAGACAGATGCTAGAGGGTACTGTGCCTTTAAGGCAGTACCAATGAACATTTACAAAATGGAAAAGGTTAGTGTGAATTTCTTCTTTTCTTTCCTCTGTCTTTCTCTTTTTATTTATTTTTTTGGTTGCTTTACATTCTTCTGATTAAACTTTACATTTAATTCCCAAGAAAATCACAGGCATAAACATCTCCAACCTGTTTCCCCTGAATAAGAATGGACAGAAATTTCTCTGGCGCAGAATCCTCGTGCTCAGAAAGCTGACATCCAGGGTGAGTTCCGTTCGCAGACACTGTACACTCACTGTACAATACTTCGGAGGCATTTGTAGTTGCAGAGTAGAATATACAAGTCTGTTTCACAAAACTCTAAAAATAAAATATATCCTGGGCTATTGATAAAGCATGAAAAAAATTCATATTAAAGGAAAATTATCAAGAAAACCCCTTCAGGTCAGTTGCATCTACCGGTGAGGAGAGAAGGGAGCCGGGAGCTCGCTAACAGGCCTGCTCGGGCTCCTCCATGCTCACACTGCTCCTCCGGCTGCTGGCTTTGGAAGCACCCGGGGACACCGAGGACAGAAGGGGGTCAGTCACGCCGACAGGAGAAAGCGTGTCATCCATCAGGATGTCTTCCAGTTTAGAGCCCATTTTCGTGGGGACACTGTAGGCTTGGCTGCTCTCGGTCCCGGTCCCAAGGCTGCTGTTGAAGCTGATGGAGCCGTCTGTGAGATCGAGGGTGGTGGTGCCAGTTAGGTCTGCGTGATGCTGAAGGAGGTCTTGGCTGCAGTTCTCAAGGGAGGGTTCTTGCTTGATGATCCGATTCACCAGATCTGCAGAGCAGAGACCCGTGGACGGAATCAGGGAAAGTCCATGAGCTCGAGCCTGCATCTCAAGTTCCTGAAAGAAAAGTGAAAATCAGACACTGAAATGGATGGAACACAGAGGTCTAGGGCAGTTAAACGACTACATGGCACTGGGCTGCTGGGCCCCGTCATTAGGCTCTGCCCACGCTCACAGACGCACAGCCCGAGGGGACCCTGTGCAAGTGCAGGGACCTGCGAGGACAGTGGTGTCAGCACAGGTTCGTCATCTGTGACACGCACCCCCTTTGTCGGGGATCTGATGGTGGGGAGGCCGTGTGTGCATGCATGGGCGCGCGTGTGCCCGTGTGTCTGTGTGTGTGCACGTGTGTATGTGTGTGCGTGCGTGTGTGTCAGGAAGTGTATGGGAACAGCTCTGCACCTTCTGCTCGATCCTGCTGTAAGCCTACACTTGTTCCAGAAAGTAAAAGCTACTTACAAAAATCAGACACTTAGAGAAAGCAATAAATGTTAAAATATTTTGCTCTTTTAAAAAATATAGAGACAGTTTCTACAGATGTTAATGTTCATGATGAGGATAAGTTAAAAACGATCAAAATAAAATTTCAAAATGTAAGCTGATTAAAGGGAAATATTCAGTGAATAACATTGTCCCATGGTCCCTAACTGTGCGCTGAGGTGTCGGGTGCTGCAGGGCCCTCACAGGCCCGGCGACTGGACAGTCCACAGGAAACGGGTGCTGCCGGGAGGGCCGTGTCGTTTCCACGCTGGGCCAGGCATGCTCTTCTCACATCTGATCATGGCTGAGCGGGCTCTGGGGAGGCTGCTCCCCCAAACCAGCACCGCGTGGAGGTCACTGCGGTGGAAACCAGGCGGCAGCGTCCAGCCCCAGCATTCAGGCACACACGTGCAGCAAGTAATGCAGTTCTTGAAAGATAACATAAAAATGCTATTTTTCTTGATTGACATGTTTTAATTTTCAAAGGCACAAGTCGTTGGGCCCTAACAGAGCTGGCGGGTTCCCGTCGGTCTGGGGCGCAGCGTGGCCGAGGCTGAGCCGGGCTCCACACTGGCTGCAGCTGCAGGAGCATCACTTCGGCGGGCTCACCATGAGCGCATTTGTTTTAATTCCAGAAAACAGTTCTTGTCTGTAAAATGAGTAATTCCGTCCTACACTTCCAGATGTTGAGACCCTAACCCCCAGGGCCGCAGAATGTGCCTGTTTGGAGACAGTGTCTTCAGAGAGGTCACTCAGTTAAGAGGAGGTCATCAGGGTGGCCCACTCCCATGAGCAATGGCACCGGGTCCTTGCGAGAAGCGTGCGCACCCAGAGGGAAGACCACTGGAGACAGAAGCAGCCGTCTGCAAGCCGAGCACAGCGGTTCAGGAGAAACCCACCCTGCGGCCACCAGACGGTGGGCTGCCAGCCTCCGGAGAACTGCGGAAACGCGCGCTGTGTGAGCCGCCCGAGGAGTGGGGTGCCTGTGAGGGCAGCCTGAGGGGCGCAGCTGACCCGCGAGAGACTGTGTGCTCACTCCAGAATGTCTCCGGAGCACAGGCCTTCCCGCTTCCTTCCCGAGCATCCCTGGACCCTCCCAGCAGGAACCCCCGAGACCCTGAAAGACCCCACCGAGCGCAGCCCTGCCCAACGCCCTCCTGTCTGTGACACGCGCAGTCACGGCGGGACACTCACTGGTGGCGAGTCCTGCGCACCAGGGAGGGAGAGTTGCCCTCCAACTGCAGGACCTGCCGTCCTCTACCCACAGGCCCAAGATGTTTATTCCAGAAGGGTCCTGTTCAGTCTCTGTGAAGGCTGTTTGATCTGCAAGACCACTGAATGTGACACCAGAAAGAGACGGGAGCCGGGACGCCACAGAAGCATCTGCGTGTTCCTCCCCGCAATCTCCGGAAACACTGGTCTCTCGGCATCATGGAAGCCCTGGGCTGTGCGATAAGCCAGTGCTCGGTGACACGCGGCCTCGTGCCCTGCCATGGGTGAGCATTTCCACGTGTGTCACTGAGGATGGAAGGCAAAGGAAGCCCTGCTCCACGCTGCGAGCACGCACTCGGGCAAACCACGCAACGTGCTAGTAGGGACGGCTGCCCTGCAGTTTCTTGTCAAAATTTTAATAAAGTTGGATTCAGAGAGGCACACATTTCACTCCACTCGTCTGTGACTCAATTAGAAATCGTGCTCAGCTGACTGAGCTTTCCTTAGATTCGTGCACGCGGGGTGCGGTCGCCTGGGACTGCGGCTGGGGCCCTGCACAGCTGTCCTAACCCGCCGTTTCCAGGCCTGCGAGTTCCAAGGGCTGCCTCACTCACACCGTCCCTGCAGCGAACCGGGGTACGGCACCGCGGGATCCCCAACCACACGTTTCACAGTATTTGTACTTCATACGAATAGACATATTTGGGCCCTGGCCGGTTTGGCTCGGCGGTTAGAGCATCGGTCCGCAGACCAGAGTCATGGGTTCGATTCCGACCAAGGGCATATACCTCGGTTACGGTTCGGTCCCTGGCTCTGGTTAGGGTCATGCAGGAGGCAACCAATCAACATGTCTCTCTCACATCAATGTTTCTCTCTCTCTTTCCCACTCTGTCTGAAAAAAAAGAGAGACATATTTGGAGCCTTAAAACAAAACCTAGTCTCTCTTTCAAAACAATGATTACTTTTTGATACTTGTATGAGGAAATACCACGTTAGCACACACTGATTTTATAGACTGGTCTAAGAAGTCCAACAGACTGAAGACCTGTGGCTCTGGCCGAAGAACAGCGTGGAACAGACATGGGAGAGGGAGGAGAACTGTGAATGACAGCTGACCTCCCTGCTGAGGTTCTAAAATGCACCCCTAGAGGACACCTGTCTTTGCCTCCTGCCCCCCAGCTTAAGATCACTGCACTGAAATGACAGCTGTGATGTCTAGAAATGTCAACTGCAGTGTGGGCATGAAGATCCCAGCCACTGTAATCGACGGACTAATCAGTTACATCTGGTCCACATCTCTGGTCTCTGAAGTGGCCGGCTGCACACTGCCATTCCCAAAACAGTGGCCTTGGAAATCTGAAATGCAGCCCCCGCTTCACGGTAAACTCTGGGAAGAGGTGGGTTCCATGCTCAGGAAGGTCTAGCGTCAGTGACTGTCACTGGTGGGCAGTGGTCAAGGTCAGCCAGTCAATTAAAATACTCCTGCAAACTCCTTTGGTCATTAGCAGCCCCAGTTCTTCTTTCTCTGTTCAAGATGGTTCAGAGGTGGCGTGTCTTCACACTCAGCGTCAGAGGTCGAGCCTGAGGGAAGCACCAGAGCTGATCCTAGAGAGGGGTCCCCTGCTCCATGCTACACGGGTACACACTCCCTACATGAAATGGCAGCTGACTCCTACTCATTGGTAACATTAGCATTTCTCCAAGAATATATAGTAAGTTAAAGATACACAAGGTATAATTTCACTCTCTGTACTATTTCTTAAATGTTTGTCTTGATGATAAGATCCTCTGAGTGTCCCCAAGTTCCCTAAAAACATGGGCTTTGACAATGGACCACATTGCCAGTACTGAGGCATCTTTGTATTTGACAACTATAGTCGATTCTCATTATTTGCAGTAATCATTGTTATGAACTGAATATGTGCCCCCCGATTCATATGCTGAAACCCAATGCCCCAGTGTGTATGTGCCCCCAGATTCACATGTTGAAACCTAATGCCCCAGTGTGTATGTGCCCCCAGATTCATATGCTGAAACCCAATGCCCCAGTGTGTATGTGCCCCCAGATTCACATGCTGAAACCTAACGCCCCAGTGTGTACGTGCCCCCGGATTCATATGGTGGAACCCAACGGCCCCGTGAGACAGTCTGCGAAGACAGAGCTATGGGCGGTGCAGAGGGCATGAGAGTGGAGTCCTCGTGGACGGGATTAGTGCCCTTATATAATGTACCCCAGAGGGCGTGGGTGCCCCTCCCCCACGCAGGACACAGCTGTCTCTAACTAAGAAGTGAGCCCTCCCCTTAGACTCCCAGCTGAGGAGCTGTGAGGAGTAAGCCGCCAGGCTGGTAGCTCCGTCCCAGCAGTACACAGACTGACACAGGGTGCTGCAGTCACCATGGACCTGGACAGTGAATACCAAACCGACCAGGTTAAGTTCCTATGACCTCGGCCGCATGTTCATCACAGGGCCTTGTTTCGGGTGTGCTTCTGTTTAAAGACACCTCATCCAACAAGTGATGCTGATCCGTCAACAGTGACCACAGCCGACAGCACTGCGGCTCATGTCTGCACGAAGCTTCACTGCATCAGACAGACGGCGCTCGGCACTCAGGAGCACGAGTCAGCCCTGTGGCCTGACACTCGGGCCACTGTAACAGCGGGACCACCCACAAAGCCACAGAAACATGAAGGCATCGCACTGAGGGGGCTGCAGAAGGACCCTGGCCCCGGGAGCCGCGGGAAGGAGGCAGGGTCCCGTGCTGCAGGGAGTGGAGGCGTGTCCTCCCCTCACGTGTGTGCTCTGCACGCGTCCGGGAAGGACACAGAGGACCTGGCCCCGGGAGCCGCGGGAAGGAGGCAGGGCCCCGTGCTGCAGGGAGTGGAGGCGCGTCCTCCCTCACGTGTGTGCTCTGCACGCGTCCGGGAAGGACACAGAGGACCTGGCCCCGGGAGCCGCGGGAAGGAGGCAGGGCCCCGTGCTGCAGGGAGTGGAGGCGCGTCCTCCCCTCACGTGTGTGCTCTGCACGCGTCCGGGAAGGACACAGAGGACCTGGCCCCGGGAGCCGCGGGAAGGAGGCAGGGCCCCGTGCTGCAGGGAGTGGAGACACGTCCTCCCTCACGTGTGTGCTCTGCACGTGTCCGGGAAGGACACAGAAGTGCCACAGATGTTGATCTGGGTTAAGAGTGAATTTTTATGTGCAGGCAAATTCCAGTAGGGAACCCACAAACATGGGGGTCTCGTAAGTCAACTCCGCGGTGGCTCAGGCCCCGCTCCCCTCCCGCCGTGAGTCCGGGTGGGCAGCCCCGGGACCGCACCTGGACCCTGAGCAGCAGGTGCCGGTTGGCGTGCTCCAGCCTCTTCTGCCGCGTCTCCAGCTCCTTGGCGCGCTGCTGTTCCCGCTGCAGCTTCCGGATGTAGTCCACAGACGCCTTCAGGATGGTGCCCTTGTTCCAGCGCATGTCTCTGGCGGAAGTGCAAGGAGACAGACCCCATGATTGAGGCTCAATGAAAATTCAACAGTCAGAGCAGTTTCTAACGATGTGATCACAAAGTGCAAGTTGGTGACAGCCACCGTTCACCGACTGCCTGCCCCTGGACACTGCCCACACCTCTCCCTTCACCCGACGGGCACCGTGGATGGGAGGGATGCTGCCCACGAGCTCTCCCTGGGTCCCGGACCTACTAGGAGGTGGAGTCAGGACCTAAACTTAGGTCTGTTGATTGCAAGTCAATATTCTTAAAAAAAAAAAAAGCTATATCAACCAGCTATAGCTTTCGAGGACTAAAAATATTAACTCAGAGAACATGCTGTGATAAAAAATTTCCATGCTATCTTACTACTTGATTGTGTGAGGCATGAAAGCGGCATCCTTGAATTTACCCCGAGTCCTCACGGGCGGGTTACCTAATTCCTCTCTGTCTCTGTTTCCTCATCTATTAAATGGTGATCTTGCACTCGCAGGAGCAGCCTCAGCTGTTACTGGAATCAAAGGAGGCACTTGATGTGACAACGCTGTGAAAACTCAGAATGCAGTTCAAACAACGGAGCAAACAACGTAATGCTTACTGTGGCCACTGTGAGACAGCACCTACTGTGCGCCAGAGGCTTTTTAAAGAACTTCATAGCTCATTTAATAGTGTTAGCACTAACACTATCCCCATCCGACGGACCGGGGAACTCTGGCTCCGAAAGGTCACCTCACTTGCCCAGGGTCACACAGCTGGCAGGTGGCGAACTGGGCTCCCCAGATCAGCAGCTTCAGGCCCCACACTCTGCACCACGGAGCCATTCATCCTCTTATGCAAACGGGTCCTCAAAAGTAGGCCCCTTTTTAACAGATGGGAAAAAGGAGCCAAGGGCTCAAGCATCTTCCCGAGGGTAGACATCTGGAAAGGCACTGGTTCGGACTGAACCCAGGCAGCCTGGGGTCGATGCTTCTCCATTTTTAATCACTATAGCTCTAATGTACTCGTACATGAGAAAATTAAAAACGCCATTTAGAGCACTCCAGAAAAATAATTAAGAATGAAATTATAATTACATAAGTAATATTTCTGTAGCACTTCAAATTAATCTGAGTCCTTTTACAGACAATATTCATGATGATGATGGCGGCGAGAGTGATGACAACAAAACAATGTAACGGATGGAGAGCCTCCCACGCCATCTTCTACAGCGGCTCAGAGCAGATGGGGACATGCAGGGGCCATGTGGACGGAGGACCATAACACAAGTCATCGAGTAATTGATCCTCATGTGTTACATGAAGACCAAAACAGAAGCTCTTCCATGAGAAGCAGCTACAGCCCTCTGAGAATTCCCGGGATAGATCTCTGGGGTCTAGACACTAGAGGTGGCAACCCAGGAGGTGTCCTGAGACTGAGCCAATTTGCTTCATGTTCAGGGCTAAGATCAAAGAAACAGAAACGTCGGCAGCCAGAGAGAAATGCACTATACTGAAGGATGCCTTATGAGGCCAGTGGGGTGAAAGCCAGTTACTGAAACATGCGCACAGCCACTTGGTCTTTAAGAAGTGACTATTTCAACCAATTATCTTAGGTTTTGCTTCTTTGTGAGACCCAACCAATTATGATCTAGGCTTAAAAAAAGGATTTTTAAACTTTTTTTTTTTTTTGTAATAAGGAAGACCCCTTTTCACACAGAAGTATACACCACTCTCTAGTACATAAATCCACAAAAGCACGTCTGCTCTGGGGAAGGAGAGAGTTTGGGGCTGAGACCCGGAGCAGCTGCACGGAGTCTGCGCAGCTGTCCAGGGTCTGTTCCAGGAACCTGGTGTGGGAAAACCCCCACGACAGACCATAGTCCATTCGATCTTAAAACAGTGCCTACAGCTAAAGATCATTATCAGTTCGGATTATAAACAGAAGTAATGGAGCACACTGGAGAAACAAGACATGCAGAGGGAGGGCGGCTTTCACTCCACTCCATAATTTCATACGTTGGTAAAGAGATTCACGCGGTAGTTTAAAAGAATATGCTAAAAAGTGGAAGCTGATAAAGAACAGGAAAATGGGAATTCAATTTCAACTATCATGCAAGACTGACTGTAGGAAATGAAGGTCACAGCCCCTTAGTAGGATAAATTTGTGCAGAGCTGAGAATGTGAGAGTTTTGAGTTTCAGAATGGCTTTCCTTGATAAACCTGGAAAGTAAAATGTTGATGATGGAAATTGTGCTTGAACATTAATCAGAACAACCTTACAATGGGTAATGGTTTTATTTTATTTTGTCACAAATACCCTGACAATAATGTGAATAGCAAATGTAATAAGCCTTGCATGGATAATGCTGGATTTCATCCTTACATTTTATTAGGCAGCTAAAAGGTCATATTCACAGGCTAATTTCACTGAATGCCTGTGGGAGCTATTAAAATGTGTGCACCTCTGGCACCTTCCTTCAACGGGCCAATGGCTCACGGGTAAAAACTGTGTTTGTCGTCCTGTTAGCTGCTTGCCAGCAGGACAATGATCTGCACAATGGTCTCTGAGAGGGCGGAAGGGGAGACAGCACTGGAATCCCAGTTCGCTGACCTACACTTAGAAGAGGATTAAAAATTACTTTTTTTCTAGAATGGTAAAACATGAACATCTTCAAAAATAAAAACAAAAAATCCAGCTGAGCAAAACTGTTACCCGGGAAGTCTCCGACATGAGACCTCGTGCCCCAGAGCTGACGGCCAACTGAGTCTCGCGGCAGCAGCTGCCGACACGGCGCCCTGCGCACGCCGTTAACGCGCTTCTGTCCAGCAGCTCAGGGTTTGCTGCCAGAGATTCTCTGATTTCCAAAAGCCACCTCCTCACACCCTGCGCGGTCCCACATCCGGTCACCCTTCTGTACGATTCAGTGCACTTCTCTCAACAGCTTAGTTTGACGAGACTACCAAAAGCAAGGTGTATGGAGTATTTAGGATGAAATCCAAGGAAAGGGGGACTTCTTTACACTGCTTTTTATAATGGTGCAGTTTTTGCAACATATGAAAAAACATTAAGGTACAAAAAATATATGATGCAGATTAACATGCGGTTGTACTCACGGATCATTGGACTTGGGAATCAAAGTACCGAGTTCCTTAATGCGGTCATTTATGTTGAATCTTCTTCTCCGTTCAACTTCAAACAAGAGCACAGAAAGGACCATCAGTACAGCCCCGCATCCACATCAATGTATCTCATCAGTAACAGCATCACATCCGCATGGATGTATCGCATTAGTAACACACATGCGGGTATTAACTTTACTGCTCAGGACCATGGACACCTGAACCTGTATTTCCGTTTTTACCATGAGGTTAAAATACTTCTAAAAATGAGCTACCTTCCATCATTAACAAAGCTCTGAGATATACAGTTCCTCATTTGATCCTGTAACAACCCTGAAATTGGAGTTACTGTCCTTGGTTATAAGTTAGAAAACGCCATGGAGACACTAGGGAGTGGAGAAGCCACCCAGCAGGAAGTGGGGACCCACCAGCCAGAACTCCACCCCGACCCCTGGCCCGGCGGCAAGCTTTCGGCCAGGGGCCTCACCGCAAGGACTTCCATCTCTGCTGGATAAATGGCGATAATGGGGCCATTATGCAGGTACTCACATGACAGGACAGAAAACATTTCCCCGTTATTTATCCACCAAAGTCACAACGTGATCAATTACCCAAGTGAAATTGTTTTGCAAGCCTACTCCTGAGAAGCACTGGATGCCAAAATGTGGATTTTATATACTTTTCACATACCCCAAAATATCATTCTTGTTTTGATTTTTTAAACTATTTAAAAATGTAAAAAAAAATTCTTAGTCCAAAGGCCACACAAAAACTCCTGTACCCAGTGCCACCCCACAGAAACACAATGCAAGTTACACAGTCACTTTAAATTTTCTAGTAGCCAAATTAGAAAAATAAAGAGTCAAAATTAACTTTAACATTTCATTAAACCCAATATACTTAAAATATTATCATTTCAACATGTAATCAATAGAAACAGCTTAGAAACTCAACATTTCCGTTCTCTTTGTGCTGTGGTAAAGCCCAGCATGTGACAGTTTCACGAGCCACACCCCAGTGCCTGACAGGCAGCATGAAGGGGCTGCGTCCAGGCCCCCTCCCAGAGCTGCATCCAGCACCCCCCCCCCCAGCGGCATCCAGCACCCGCCCCAGCTGCGTCCAGCCCTCCCCCAGCTGCGTCCAGCCCCTCCCAGCTGCGTCCAGCCTCCCCAGCTGCGTCCAGCCCTCCCCCAGCTGCGTCCAGCCCCCCAGCTGCGTCCAGCCCCTCCCAGCTGCGTCTAGCCCTCCCCCAGCTGCGTCCAGCCCTCCCAGCTGCGTCCAGCCCTCCTCCAGCTGCGTCCAGCCCCCCCAGCTGCGTCCAGCCCCTCCCAGCTGCGTCCAGCCCTCCCCCAGCTGCGTCCAGCCCTCCCCCAGCTGCGTCCAGCCCCTCGAGGTGAGTCCAGCACCTTCAGCTGTGTCAACCGTCCTAACAGCATTCCCTTCTTACAAACCCAGTGGCATGTTCAAGTGCACTGGCATCTTCTTAGGGGAGGGTGAAGTAGCAAAGCATATGAGTTAATAAATGTTTCTAATTGACCTATAGTCTGTTAAAGAAATTCCAAATAACTTAAGGTCTAATAAATTGAATTAAAGTTGTTAACTTTTTACTTTAAATATATTACAATCTATTATGTATTTATTATAATTAGGTTATTCTGTATAACTTAACACATATTTATATTTGACTGACTTAAATAAAACTATTCATTACTTTCCCAAGATGTTACATTTTTAAGCTGAATGATTATTTCTATCATTAAATCAATTATATATATATACATATACACACACGCATACATGCATATTACTGTCTTATCATCAGACTTTTATAAAAATAGAAACAATAAGTGATATACAATGGTTCTGAAGAAGAAATTTTTTCACCTCTGATCTTCTAGCTAACTAACATCCTCTGGCAACATTTCCTTACTTTTTCCAAGCATATAATAATCATAAAAAGTCAAACAATACTGACATATATAAAGTGAAATAAAAGCCTCCCAGATCCAGCTATGACTACTGTTAAGTGTCTTATGCGTCTCTGGTGACTGTTTTTACCTCTGAAACACACACACACACAGGGCACCCTGGCCACCGTCCTGGAGCCTCTTCTGGGTCCACATTCACTTGCTGGTGATCTCATTTTGTCTCGTGGTTTTGAATACCACACAGAAGCTGATGACTCCCACAGTCACATATCCAGCCCAGACATCTTCCTGGAACTCCAGACTCATGCCTCTAACCACCTGATGTCTCCATATGAGGTCCAGTGGCAGCCAGACACCCCAACACCAGTTCCGGGTGGTCCCTGATCAAACAGCTCCACCCACTGGCTCCCCCTCACCTAATGTTACTCTGTCCTTCCAGGCACAGAGGCCAGAACGCGGGAACCCATTCTGCACCTCTGTCCTTCTCATAGCCCTCATCCACTCTGCCGCTGGAATCTGCTGGCTCTACCTTCAAAGCATTTTCAGAATTTTCCCCTCCAACTCCCACTGCTACTGATAGAAGCTGCCCCATCTCCTGCCTGGATTACTGCAGTCCTGTTAACTGGTACCTGCCCCCCACGCCCACTGCTCCCCACCCCTTTGGTCCTGGACATCCCAGCCGAAGGACCTGCTAAAACAGGCAGAGCACGGTGATCCTTCATGCTGAGCAACCGGCCAGGGCTGGATGTACCACATTTTATTTATTTATTTACTGTATATCTTTTTTTTTTTCATCCTCACCCAAAGATATTTTTCCATTTATCTTCAGATAGAGAGAGAGAGAGAAACATCAACATGAGAGTGACACACTGACTGGCTGCGTCTGGCACGACCCCGACCAGGGCCAGGGATGAACCGCAACCGAGGTATGTGCCCTTGGCTGGACGAACCCATGACTCTCTGGTCCATGGGCCGACACTCTAACCGCTGAGCCAAACCGGCCAGGGCACCACATTTCATTTTTAATTCAATGTCTTCTCTCTCTAATTATTTTTTCATTATAAAAGTGATATAAACTTATAAAAACTTGCAAAACACGTAAAAGTGTATAAAGGAAGAAGTAAAAACCGCCTTTTTACACCATCAAGCACCTATATTCCTGAGGGTATTGTTAACTGTAAGGGTGACTCCAGGATCCCCACACATCCATAAGCACCCCCTATACAGTATGTGTGTTTTATATTCTGCGATCATATACAGTACTCTGCCTTTGTTACTCAGTAATACATTGTAGATGTTGTCTGCGTCAGAAAAAACTGCCCAACTCCATTCTTCTTAAGAGACACTGAGCATCCCTTACAGGAGGCACCATCATTTATTTGACAATTCCCTACTGGTGAATATTTAGACTGCTCCCAAGTTCTCCCTCTTCTTCAATGGGGTGAGCAATATTTCTGCCAGGGCTTGCAAGTCCATGTTACTGCTGTCATTATACTTATCCTGTGCTGGAACTCCACCTGAAGGAATTGGTTTGCTCATCCAGGCTGTCTGCCCTGCTGGGACACCTGTCTGTCTGGTCCATGTCTGTAGAAAGTGCCTTGTGCATAAAGGGGGCTCAATAAATAGTTAGAGTAAAGACATGGATTTGTCCTGTTGCACATTTTGGCAAGAATTCTTAAGATACAATTTCTAGAAGAGGAAGAGCTATGTCAATGGGCAATCTAACCTCGATGAGGCTTCAGGACTATTCTGTAGTGCTCAGAATTTGAGCTGACCATGCTTGCATTTCACCGACCACCATGAGCTTGAGAGATTTGGTGCCCCAGTGAAGGTGAATATTGTTTTTGACAAGTTTTGGATGATGCCTAACTATCTTATTTGTAAGGTATTTGAAAAGGAGAAATATCTAAGAGTAAAGTTACTTGGGAGTGAGAGGAGACCTTAGAAATACGGATTTGATCTCCTGGTTCGGAGATGAGGAAAGTCGTTAATTGGACTGGGCGCTGCCAGGGGCAATGAGCACTGCAGACACGGGCCCTCTGGGACCCAGCAACTCCATTCTCAGTTCCTGACCTGGAGAAACGAACCCCGTGGGCACGCACTGAGGCCCTCGTGTCTGATTACATGTAGCTTTAAGCCCTAGCTCTAGAAATCCTCTCCCGCTCTCTGCCCCTCAGGCCCAGCCTTCCCCAACAATCCGCAGGCCCCAACAGCAGAGACAGGGGGACCTGCCCAGTGCTCACTGCTCTGGACCTCTGGCGGGACAGACATCCCGACCTCAGTTACCTTTCAGCTCCTGAGCCCGAAGGGGAACCACCCCTGGCTACTTCCCATGAGAGGGACAGAGGGGCGCCAGAAAAGACCTCAGAGCCTCCTGAAGGTCCGAAGGAAGATTCCCCTCACTCACGCCCCCTGTTGGCCCACAGGGCTCCGAACCCCCTGCAGTGCCTCGGAGCGCGTTCAGCTCTGCTGCTGGGCTCCTGGGTCACCATCCCCGACAGGAGCCCGGCTTCCTCCCCTGCCGCCGTGGTACCTAGTGCTGGGCTCCGCCAGCGCCCCGGTGGCCGGGGTCGCCGGGGTCGCCAGGGGCGGGCTCTCTGTTCCCTGCCACACGCAGAGGCGCACGCATGCTCACTGCGGCACTGATACAGGGAGCCCCGGCAACGCAGCGCAGGGGCCACGCCGCGGGATACGTGTGCGCCAGCGTGAAAAGCACACGGGTCTAGATGATCACAGCAAAAGGTCTTCAGGGCAAGCCGCTGAGTGAAAAGCAAGCGGCACCAGACACGGACCAGGTGCGACTGTCTGTGTTAAACCCTACACAAAACAATGCTTTTCATTCTGTGCGGGTTTTGAAACACATGGACACAGCAAATGGAAAAAGAAAAGATTATTCCAACGATCAGAGGGGAACTCTGGCCTTATTCTACCACCTCTGTAAGAATAGAGTCCTTATACGTAACTTATATTCTTAAAAGTCAACTTAGAAAAGAGAGGACAGGAGGCTATGAGATGATGAACTGACACACCCAGACTATTTCTTGCCTCCAAGCCCAGTCCTTCTCATTTTTCACCCTGCAGCCTCTTTTACTTGTTTTGAAACAAAAACCTTCAGTTTTTTATCAGAACAGCTTAAATATTTGATCAAGAGCAAATTATACACATAAAAATAATTTTAAATGTTAAAAGATTTTTTTTAAGTCACAGGTAAGGTCAGAAATGTGGAAGGTTACCCCACCCACTGAATGACTGCCCCCAAACGTTTCATTTTTTTCTTTCAAATCTCACTGGAGAAGGTGATCCTATAACCCTGTATGTTAATAAGGTCCAGAGTGAGCAACATTGATAATTGGGTAGTTGGGGATCAAATCTTTCTCTCTCTCTCTCTCTCTCTCTCTCTCTCTCTCTCTCTCTCACACACACACACACACACAACTAATATTATAAACAAGGAAAAGAGGCTTCAGGATACTGGAAAAAAATCAATTTAATCTGAGATAAAATATGGGGAAATATATAGCTTGGTTTTTCTGAAAAAATAATTTTCTTAAATAAAATGTACCTTAATGTCATAGAAATAAACTTCCCTCTAAAATTTCTGGAAAGATTTTGATAGGCGGGCCAACATTAACTCCAATATTCAATATCATGAACATAAAACCAACTTACTCAAGTTGTGATTGTCCTTTTTTTGTCTTTCTTTAGCCAGTGCTCTCGCTTCAGACTCTGTGGGGAAAATACACGCTGTGCACGTGAATGAAGCAATTAGAAAGTGGAACTGTTCAAGGCACACACTGATGTACACTAAACACACCTTATTTTCTAAACAAATGCAAGCTAATCGACTCAGTGATACATAATAATATGAGTTTTTTTTAAAAAAATTTACGACTAAATAATACTAGGGCTTTTACATTACAGCTTTACAAAGCTTGCATTTTTCAATAGCAATATTATCAAATAAATGCAAAAACTTGGCTTTTACAAAATGGTGAAAGACCAGTCATACTATAAACAACAGGCATGAACAAGAGAGGTGAATGAGGAACAAGGAAACAAACCTGGTACATGCACAGCTGGTACAGAGCATGCATATGTACATGTCTGTTAGATGTGTACTTTACACACATTTATATACAAACACTTCAGAAGCTGAATTCTTTCCGGGAAGTGAATCCAACTCATTTTCTGTTTTTGTTTCTCACATGGAAGCATGACAGGCAGCTTTTATGTACCTGCCCCTACAGTAACTTGATTTTTTTTTGGTTTCCCTTTGATTTTTGTTTTCAGCTTACCAGCCTCACCCTATGGTTGGTTCTCTGCCTGTCAATCTCAACTGTCCAACTGTGGACTAGTGCTGGGCAAGGCCCCCAGTGAACTTCTGTGCCATCCTGCGGGCTGTAACCATGTCCTCCCCACCCTCGGCCCTGGGGAGGAGCGCTCTCTCCCAAGTTTGGGTCCTCCTCAGTATTCATCCTCTTTTAGTAGCTCATTGCCTGTATATGGTTAATAAATATTTTAAACCTTCACTGTTCAAACTACTGTATGGTTTCTTCTTTGTGCCTGGACCCTAATGCAGGTGGGAAAACTGGACTTAATAAAGACAGTCCCTTCGCACCCCCTTACGTCAGATCTGCTGACTCAGCTTGTTCCCCTTTGGCTACATCAGCCTGCTGCCCCTCCAGCTATCAATCAGCACCATTCCCGTCCATTTGCTCTCTTCCTGGCATTTACCCTTGTCTTGTCTGGCTGAGTCACTTCCCATGACACAAGTGACTCTGGAAGCACACTGGCCATTATACCTGCTTTTCAGAAAGTGAAATACACTGATCCCCCTTCACCCATTTCGGCCACTCCCCATCCCGCCTCCAGTTTCCTCTCGTTTCTGAAGGGACAATGACACACATAATTCGAACTCCACCTGTGTTCGAGTAGTGAGGATTTCAATCGCATCACTCTGACCACATTTCATCATTGTTTAATACAGATCTCATGTAGCAACATTTCCTAAAACGTCATGGTACTTCTCCTTCCTGTAGGGTACCTACTGGTTTATTAGCTTTTGATGGGTTTTAATGTATTAATTAATTAGGTATCATGTTTAACCCAAGTCCGTGATTTTTTAAAAATGTCTTCCTCCTGTCACAATTTCCTGAAGTGCTTTTCAAAAGACACCTTGAGCAGGACAGGACCTTCGCACCCTTTCCGTATTCCACATTCTGTCTGTCCGCCCAAGCCTACCAGTGCGAGGACTGAGCGATAGGGGGTGAGGCAGGACCATGAAGTTCAGCATGGTTCAGTGTCAGTCCCAACATACTTTAGTCGTGTTGTAATGGCCAAACGCCTTCCCTAAAGCATCAAACAAAACGGCGAAACAGGTCATTTCGCACTTGCCTCCAGAACAAACCCTGCCCATTGCTCCCTTTTATAATTTACTTTTTCAGCCTGTGTAATAAATCTTTTGCACTTGGTGCAGCAAAAGTAATAGGAGGCACTGAAGATGTAGGAAGTATGTTCTTAACCCATCCCAACTGCGGGCTTGGGAAAGTCAGCCGGGACTCGGGAAGGCCTCCAGGGCGTGGGCGGCAGAAGCACCAGGCTGGGCACGCACGTTCTGCAGCAGTGTGGTCCGCCCCGTCGAGGGGCAGCGGCAGGACAGCGGTGGCTGTCACAGGGCGGCGTGCCGTGGAGAAAAGGCGACCCTGACTCCCAGTATCTCAGGAAATGCTGGACACCTGGACTCCTCCTTAAAATATCACTCAATGTTTCACCCGCCGCATGGATTTTAAAAACTGTGCCTGTGCGTCGGAAACAGCCCGGAGACCCCTGTTTCGGTTCTGTAACTGATGGGAAATGAACAGAGGAGCCCTGGGGCGGCACGGGCGTCGGGGTTTACCTGTGAGCTCCCTCTTTATGTTGGGGAGGCTGGCGGGGCAGGAGCTGCTGATGGCCAGGCCGGGCGGGGGCAGCCCTTGCGTGCCGTACAGGTCCACCAGGTTCCCGGACACCGGCAGCTGCAGGGACAAAACCGCAATGAGCTCTGACGGCCTCCGCCACTCGGGCCCACCCGCATCCCAGGCATTCCAAGGTGGGCTGAGTGAAACGCCATTTTTCAAATCAGAAAACATGAGCTGTCTGCCTTTTCAGGCCCTGAGGGCTATGGCCCCGCTGGCCTCAGGCCCAGGTGGCCCAGGTGGCCCAGGGCCCGGCGGGCAGGCAGGCAGCGGGCGCCGGGCAGGCCCACGGGGCCCCGGCGCGCAGGCGCGTGGCGGGCTGCTGGCTGCGGCTGCGGCACGGGCCCTGTCTCACACGCCTTCCTCACCCCGCGGGTTTCCCCTCCAAGCCAGTCTCCTGTCTTCTCTTCTTTCCTCCTTCTCCTACCCTCTCTCCTTCTTTTATAAGGAAAAACCATGAGAAGTGGTTTCTTATCGGAAAAGAAAAGGTTTCCTTACTGCTAAGAAAAGCTCTTCCTTGAAACTGAAGTCCTTCACAGAGCCACAAGAGGGAGCTCACTGACTTTAATAAAAGAATAAAAATGTACACTAAAAAAAAAGAATTTAGCTTTTGCAAGATAGCTTAAAAGCGGTTTTCTTTAGCTCTCAATTGAATATTTTAAAGTAGTGGGATTTTTTTCCCCAACAGTGACTTCCTTTTGCTGTACATGCATTTTCCTGCAGCTAGTTCATGGTAGGAGTTTGATGGGCCCATTTCTGTACATACAAGAGGTCCCAGACATTTCTTTTTCTCACTCCCTGAAATAAAGTCTAAGTATTACCACAGGGCTACAGTGAAGGGACCGCACTGCTTCTGCCACAGAAAGTTCCCATTTCACCTAATTCAATCCTGTAACTATTATTACTAGGGAAGACTTCACATCACTTAGCCCGCCCTTCCTTGGCTACACACCTGAATTGTAAATTTATATAGCCTTTAATCGTGATTAAGAAGTTTAGTGACCAAGACGTATTGTGTAAGAATGTACTGCATATCCAACCTCTCATTCTCTCAAACAGCCACTAACACACGGAAAAATATCGCACAGAATAAAGATAGAATCAAATGTGTTTCCCCAGTGGGCAGCCGTCGGCTCCTTTCACGGCTTCTAAATCAACACGCGATGAACTGAACTCGGAGCTGGGGGGTGGGGGCTGCACAGATACGATTCTTTCTGACAGGCTAACACACTAGCTCTGACGGGCAGGGTGGGGTGCGGCAGACTGGCCTGCTGTTGCTCCTTTTTGAAAGCAAGATTAATGTGTAAAATGTATATAAAATGTAATGCCTGTACCCCACTACACAAATGCACACAAACATTGCAATGTGATGATTTAAAATGCCCTGGACCACATTTCAAAGTCCTCTAGCTAAGAAACTGATAAAAAGGTGACTTTGATTATTAGCGGTAATGTCACAAAGTTGTTTCATTTGAAACAGGTTACCTTAGGATCGCCCTCGCTGTGTGTGTGCTGTTTTCCTCCTGTCCAGCTTAACATAGCAGAGTGGAAGGTGTGCAAACATCTCCACACAGTGAAGAGTTGGAGAACTGAGAGCTGCTAGGACATCTCAGAACCCTCTAGATTACAAAGACTTTCCTCCCAGCTTTCTGAAGTTTCAGATTTGGGGAGAACTACTGGATATTAATAAACCAAGAATGTGACTTCAAAATTCAATGTAACAAGCTAGAAAATTATTCCCATAGCTCTAGAAATATAAGTCATATAGATCATGTTTCCGAATGTAGCTTATAAGCAAAATATGCCATTGTGTTATGATGACGACTTGTTAGGATGACAGGCGGGTGATTTGTACAGCTAGCTTTAAAAATCCTGTCACCGATGGAGCTCCTTGGAGAGACACTCATCAGCTTTTCCATGACAAGAACATACTTTCTAACCATTTCCTCAGGAAGATGATACATGTACATAGACTTACGTGCAGAATCACAGAGAGAGAGGCAGAGAAAGAATCAGCAACTGGGAACAAGGTAGAGATAGACTTAGGGATGCGGGGCAGAAACAGAAGAGAGAGCCACGCACAGGCAGGGGGGAAAGAGATGAAAAGACAGTGGACAGACAGGTGGGTGGGGACGAAGGAGAGCCAGCCGGGGAGACCCAGCAAGAAGCGGGTTGGGGGACTGTGAGGGCATGAACTGGCAATGCCCACCCGGAGGGCAGAGGACCGCAACTCTCCATAGCCAGGTGCCTTGTCTAACCCACCGAGGTCACACAGCATTACGTCCAATCCAAAGAGCACTCTAACCCTCTGTTCTCTAAAAGGGTCCTGCTTCGGCTGCTTTTCCAGTTCTTGTGAGTGACTGGGGGTTGGCAGCAGAGAGGGCACCAGAATATGTTGCTGGGGAAGGCTGAACTTTGTGGGGGCTGCTCTGGGCAGGCCCAGAACTGGACAGCTTCTATGTGCATTATCTCAATGGCTTTACAAGGAGAAGAGCCCGGCCCCGTCTGTCTGATGGGGCTCCAGCAGGGGCTCCTGCCTGTGTGCACAGCAGCCGGGGGGGGGGGGGGGGGGGCTCAACCTGCGGATGGTAATTAGAAACTGCAGTTGTCAATTAATTTCCAACTGGACCAGAACAATTCAAAACTCAGCTGCTCACTAGCCAAGTGTGGACAGTCAAATCCACAAATTAACAACGTGGTGACTTTACAACCTGGGCTTGGGGTCAAAGACCCGGCCAAACCGCCTTTGTCACTGACCCCTGTGAACTGAACTCTCCGAGGTGCAGGTCCCCCTTTGGAAAAGGCAGTCTTATCACTCAGCTCACGGCTTTGGTAAGAATTAAACGAGACAACGCAGGTGAGACAGTGCCTCCTCCTGATGCGCCCGGTAAGTTCTGTTTAGTAATAGTATAGTTTTCTAGAAGGCACTGTATTCCCAGTCTGCATTTGGACCGCTGAGATAATTTCCACTTAGATCCACAAAATCACCGGCCCTGTTAACTACCAACAATCCATCGACCATCACACCAATTTTGCCAGACTGCAGTGCAAATATAAACACAGGAATCGGGGTCTGCAGAGCTGAGATGCTCACTCAGTACCCTAAATTAGTGACTGTTTCCTGCAGAGGACATGTGACAATGTCTAAAGACATTGTTGGCTGTCACAACTGGGGGGGTGGCTAGTGACACCTAGTGGGTGGAGGCCAGGGGTGCGCTAAACACTGTGCAGTGCACAGGACGGCCCACGGCACAGAACGCCGTCTCAAATGTTGGCAGTGCCAAGGCCAACACACCGGCCCTGAGCGGTGGCATGTGTTCTCTGTATTAATGGCTGTAATTTGTTGAAGCTACTAAAAGGAAGGTTGATTAAAATAGTATGGCTTTTTAACTAAAAATGAGTCTCCTAGCCATCCATATTTAAGAAAGAATACTGTGGTTCCCCTTCTGGGTTAGAAAAATTTCCCCATAAACATAGTTAACATCAAAATTAGGTCACAATAACACCTTTGGAGCCAGGGAAGGAGAGTCATCCCTTGTTAACACGGAGGCTGTGTCCTTGCTGGGTTTTTAGCCCGCACGCTTACCTGACGGACGAGACCTCGCTCTGGCAGACAAGCTGCCCCGGGGACAGAGGGCGACTCTGGCCTCCCCGGGATAAACACAGAGAAGGTGGACTCACATGAGGTGTGGCCCAAACTTGGTCTGAATCGAATTGTTCAATATTCTGATTCACCAAAAGTGATTACTTTTCCAAGTAAATGATCACTGTAAAATAATTTTCCCTCTACATGGCCCCTCTCTGAGTGCCAACTGGGCACTGTTAAAGCAGGCAAAGCGCACTTTTGTTCTTTGTTTCTGCTGCTACAAGAGGCCCTTGTGCTCTCAGAAGAGTTATTTCTAGACTCCAGTTCCCTCAGGACAGTTTCCTCTCTAAGTGTCCCTTCCACTTTTTTTAAAAGATAACTTGAAACAAGGATTTCAAAGAATCAAATAAAAGGGAAAAATGCCTAACATGAAAAACATTGTTTGAACTTCACTGTGGAAAAAAATTTAAATGTTAGTAAGTTGTAGTAGCTTTGTTATTTGATTTTGACAACCAAAACCCAAATTTATCAAGACTAAGAGCTGTTCTAAATGCTTTTTTGTAGATGAACATTTATAATTCCCTCGTCATTTACACGCTGCTCCTGTCCCTATCTTCCGACCAGAGGCGGGGCAGGAGCAACAACGCGCTCAGGAGCGTGAGGAGCTCAGACATGTGGCTCAGACTGTGTTCCCATCCTCTCTGGGGGCTGTCTTGGCCCTGCTAGCAAAATGCTGATGTGGCTTTGTTGTGGGAAGGCCCCCCAGGCCACCTTGGCCTTTTCCAGGGTGGGAAACAGAGGAGCCCTGAGCACCAGACAGTCAGTGACTTCTGAGAGTGGCTACAGGTCAGTGTTCCTGTCCTGGCTGGGAGCGACTTCAGCTCTGCCCTGGGATCTCTTCCATCTGGGAGCTCCACTGAGGTGAGCTCCCTGCTCCTGGCTTAGCTTCTCCCTACGAGGCGTGACGTGGGCGCCTGTCCATGGGGAGCCGCTCTCAGAGGGGACATTCCTCGCTCTCTGCACCCCCAGCGCCTCACAGTGCTGTTGGCTGACTATTCGGCATTTGGTAAATCAACCTTAACTTTACTTTGGGAGCAATCAGACACCGAGGAAATACAATGCTAGTCTACTGTCGACAGGTAAGGAGACATATGGATTTAGTCTAAAGGACAGAAGCAAATGGGGTCATGACAACTGTCTTCAGAGGGGCTGTCATGGGGAAAGGTGCTCCATGAGGAAAATGCGGCCCACAGCGGAGTTCCAGAGACACTCACTGCCGGGAGCATCTTGTAAACACAATGTTCCTCTAACATCTGGACACTTCACAAGTGCTCAGTAAAACGCCCGAATAAAACACTATCACAATTATTTTATATCGTAATAAATTATACTTAATAATTAGATACTGTTGAGTACAACTAGGCCCATGCTCAATGCCATCCATATGCTATGGGAGGACCACGTGAGGCAGGGACAATGGCCAGTCCCACTTTGCAGATGGGAAGTACAGGACTTTAGGAAGCTAAGTAACATGCAAGGTCACTCCATACATGGCAGTCGTAGGATTTGAACTCTCTGACTCCTAACATTGTTCTCTACTGCTTCTCTTGTGAGTTAGTGCATATCCTTGGCAGAGGCCTCCAAGAAGCTGGATGCCTGACTTCCAGGTGGAGGTACAGAAGATGCAAGAGAAGGTCAATGCAACAAGTACCAGGTTAGCTCAGATGACTCCACAGGTCCTGACCCTTAGAGAAAAAAGCAATGATTTCTAAGTTACTTCAGTTCTACAGTCTCCTGAATGGGCCAGGCATCCACCGATCCCTGGGCAAAGCGGCCACGCTCACCGTCTTTGGGACGTCTAGGCCGGGGCTAATGAAAGCTGCTGGCACTGAGAACAGCCCAAACACACCGTGTCGTCGTGTGCTTACAAATCCCGTGTCAGCTCACGTCCACCCGGGTCCTGACGGCCACGTGCTGGGGGAAGGGAGAGGTCCCCGGAAGGCAGCCCAGGGCCAACGAGGATGTGGGCGCTGGTGTGGAGACACGTGTCAGGACGGCAGAGTGTGCATTTAAATGGGCAGGAAGTTGACAAAAACTAAACACCCTAGAAGAGGCTTGAGGTTTCAAGGGGTGTCCTCACTCCACCAAACTTTAGGTAAGAGAACTTGATGGAAAAGAAAAGAAAATGCTAACTATAAAAATTCAGCTTATTAACAATTTGAGTGTAACCCATGAAGGGTTATCATGTTCCCTGGCTGAGAAAATTTATTATAGAAATTTAGTCTTTAAAACTAAAGACTAGTTTAGTTTTTTATTGGGGTAAAAAAATAACAAAACATATTATCTTAACCATTTTTAAGTGCACAGTTCAGTAGTGTTAAGTATATTCACACTGTTGTGAAACAGATCTCCAGAATGTTTTCATCTTGCAAATCTGAAACTTTATACTCACTAGGTTAGTCTTTTATCTACTAGTCAGGAAGGAATGTGCCAGGCCCGTGGCATTGCTGGCATAGGACAGACAGGACCGGCTAGCACGCGCAGGCCTGCAGAGGGGCGCACCCTGACCCGCCTCGCCACGCAGTCCCGCACAGGAGCAGCGCCCTTTTCTAACCCCGAAACAGCAGCGATACCACCCAACTTGACTAACAGAACTCAGAGTTACTGCGAGGACGAAATAAAATCTGCAGAAAGACTGGCACACAGTAACATAAGACACAAATGCATGGAGAGAAATACAATAAACAGTACGGCAAGGCTCCACACCACAGACAGAAGTAATGTACAAGAGCTAATAGTTCCACTGTTTCACTCACTAAAATCGGAATATATTTTGCTGTTGATGAGTAACCCAGCTGTCCCCTACCACCTGTGAGTAGAAAGATGCTGCCGTAAAGACAGCATCCTTTTGTTCAGGCGAACTAGAGCACCCCTCCTGCACAGGAGGCCCAGACGGCTCCCCGGCAGCGCGCTGAGCTGGGAAGGATGTCAAGGAGCCCGGGAGGCCTGACGTCCCACTCAAAGTGGATTTGGACTCCAGGGTATGCGGAGCTTTGTGAACGCATGAGAAATTCTTAATTTCTGATGCCCAAGTCACTCATTTGTGATCCTAAAATAATTCTCTGTATTATTATTGATAAATTTCTCAATGAATCACTTGCCAAGATAAACTACAAGTTCAGAGAGAAAGAGAACATTAAAAATTGCTCAAGATTTTCTTTAAAAAAAAAAGTCATCAATACCGTATTTGCCATTTGTAAGGCAGGATCCATCAAGCTCAGGATTTCTTCATTATAACTTGATTCTAGGCTAATGATGTCATCGATAACATCATCCATCTGCAGGAAAAAGGTCAATGGAAGAGAAAGATAAGCAAAAGCTATGCAAAGCAACCCCAAAAGAGACCCAGGGTCTTTCCTCACCCAAAGCAACAATGATCTTGAGTTAGATTCTAAGAAGCAACTGTCCTCCTCCTCCCAAAATGTGAACATTAACTGAGGTCATCAGCAAGGATGGTTTCTGCACCTGCACTTTCTGAGTGATTAGCAGGTGCCAACAACCCCAACAGGGTAGCTGCTGCTATTATACCTGTTTTCCAGGTGGATAGATGAGAAGCACCTCTCCCGAGCATCACGAGCTGAACCGATGCTCTTAACTGCTATGTAAACTGCCTGCCCTCAGCAGGGAGATGGACCAGGAGGTCTCGCCTTGAATAACAGCTGCCATTTCCCTTTTCTCTACAGACTACACCCCAGACCCTCCCTGGAGCAGGGAGACACAGATGGCAATTCAGCCCTTTGCTCCCACAGGTGCGTGAGGGGCACTGTGGCCCTCAGCCACTGGCTCGCCCAGCACTGATCTTGCAGTGACTCATAAAGTAAGTTTCTCCTTGTGCAGCTGCCAGGGTGCGTGGTGCTCCCCGAGGACTACACCAGGACGAAGTTATCATCACAGTCATGGAGCTGACATTCCCACTACATCAATTTTATTCTGGAAGTACCCAAACATCAGTTATGATAGTAAACAAGTGATTACATGCGCATTGCAGCAGTTGCAAAGTCCGTGAAAACATTTCTTTGTAAACATGTTATATATTTGAGCTAGTTGGGGTGTGTGTGTGCCACATGCTTGAATCTTAAGAGTGCTTCATAAGCACACAAGGAAATCTCAGCCCTCAGAGGCATGCTCCTTGAGCCTTTTTTTTTTTTTTTTTCCTCACCCGAGGACATTTTTCCATTTTTTGTTCAGATAGAGCAGGAGGGAGAGAGAGGAAAAGAGAGAGAGAGAGAAACATCGACGTGAAGGGACACATCGAGTGGCTGCCACCCGCACGACCAACCAGGGCCGGGGACAAACTGCAACCGAGGTACGCGCCCTTAGCGGGAACCGAACCCGGGTCTCTCCGGCCCGCAGGCCGACACTCCAACCGCTGCGCCAAACCGGCCAGGGCTCCTTGAGCCTTTTTTTTTTTTTGCCACTTCCAATTAAAGAGGACAGCTCCGATGTCAGGGGACTTGGTGGAACTTCGCTCTCCCACTTCCTGGACGCAGGCAACGCCACAGTCGTTAAAGCTGCAGTGGACAGTCTGTCAAGTAGGGTTATAATGCTCACTGCCTTATTGGATTTTTGTGAGATTTCAGAATAAACCATATAAAGTGCTCACAGCGCCAGGAATATGGTAAACATTAAAAAAATACATGTTATTAAGTGGCCCTTGTGAAGAGTAATTGGAAGTCCGTTCTGAGTAACTGCCAGCATACCGTTCATTAAGTTCCGTCTCTAGGTATCCCAGTTTTTTTTTTTAAGATATAATTTTCTGATTATGCTGATAAACAGGCAAATAGACCAATGAACTTCCGAACAACCTCACTTTGTAAATTTTTTATTTTATTTTCAGTATAAAAATTAGAGGGCCTAGTGTGATAAAAAAATTTTTTTAAATATGTTTTTATTGATTTTTTAGAGAGAGAGGAAGGGAAAGAGAGAGAGAAAGATTGATGTGAAAGAGCTACATCCATTGGCTGCCTCCTGCATGCCCCTCACTGGGGATCGAGCCTGCATCCAGGCATGTGTCCTGCCCGGGAATCAAACCAGGATCTCTCAGTCCATGGGAGGATGCTCAATCCACTGAGCCACACCGGTCGAGCTAAGGTGATAAAATTTTTTAAATGATTTTTTCTTTTATAAAAATGTAATGCAAATTGATAATGGAAAATATAAAAATGCAAAAAAAACCAAAACAAAACAGATTTTTGTGGCTGCTTCTTCATTCTTTTATACATCTACACACACATTTTAACCTCTAATTACTTGGGAAAATACCCATGAAATGTATTAAATTGCTAGTTTCAGAACGTATGTTCCATGAGATCCCATCCCAAAGTAACAGATACAGCTCACGTACCGTGGCTCGGCTAGCAATAGCCTCTCAGCATCGCTGCCCTCACACTTCATAACACACACTGACGATGGCATCGAAGGGAATTACAGCATTTTTATTTTGTTTATTAAAATTTATGTATGGTAAACAGTATTTACTACTTAAAGCAATTTAGGGAAAATGCAGTCTAAGTTTACTAAGATTTCCTTAGTAAGTATTTAATCATGAGACACTATGAAGAGAACGACTCTGTTTATAGTCCATCTTTAAGCCTAAATCAATAAAGGGATTAAAGGGAAATTCACTCTTCCTAACTGAAGAGTAGCACATGATGCAGAGCACACGGACCCTGACCTCCCGAAGCCCAGAGGCTCCAAGGACCTTCTAATCATAATGAGAAGGATAACTGGACGGTTTGCACAAACTACAAAGAGTAGACTGCTTGGGTCCCAGGAGGTCTCCAGTATTGTGTGCAAATGGTTCCAGGGAGAAATACACCTGGGAACACTGACATTACAGACAAGAGGATTGAAAAGCTCTCACTATTCTGGGGAAAAAACAAACAACTGTTTAACTTTATTTAATACACAATTCCTCTCTCTTCGGACCGCAGTGCACTTCCTGCGCCCTGTCCACTGGCAGTGATGCCCGTCAGCACCCTGCAGAGCTGCATCCCCGGAACAGGTTTGGGGAGCAGCTCAACAGAAGTAAAAATTAGGCAAAGTGACCGCATACAAGGTAGAGTGGTCACATCTAGGGTCAGGAAGCATCCGTAAACTTGGAAATGTGTGGGGTGCATCTTGAGGAATGAGTAGGAGTTCGCCACAGCCAAGACAGAAGAGAAGTCTTGGCAAAATATAAGAGCACGTGTGAATGCCCAGAGTTGTGAAACACAACAGAGTATAATGGAGTGAGTGGGAGTAGTATGAGTTCAAACTGAAATAGAAGGCAAAAGACAAAAATAAATGAATAAATAAATAAAATAAAAATAAATCAAGTGTAGGGGGCTTTTAAGTCTCCCACAGATTCAGATTGCTGTTCCTGAGTACTCCACCCGGGCACCGAGCCCTTCAGTACCTGCATGCAGGACGCTCGGGTGTGCGTGTTCATCGTTGGGCAGTCACTCTCCGCCCTGTTTTGTTCTTCAAACTTATAAAATCCCTGCAAAAACACAAGCAAAATCAGCCCATGACTTGGATTTGTAAATGACTCTTAAATGACATGTTCAGACAAGGCTGACTGTGCAGCAACAGATGAACTAAACTTTCAAACAAAGTAGAATCTGACCAAGAAATGAAATAATGAAAACAGAACTTCCATTAAGTCAGCCTGACAGATGACAAACAGGGACAGAGAAAATAAGATGGTTTGGGCATAGGGGAAAAGCCTTGGTCCCTTTAGAAATTAAAATCAAGCCAACTTCAGGAAAGTCACCTCTGAAATAGTACACACATTCCAGAGCACAGTGCACGTCCATTCGAACGAGGCTCATCGCGTGCTCTGGAGTAGCAGGCACTGCATCCCGCGCCCTCTCGGCTACACTCAGGCATCCAATGCTGATGCCGCATCAGGCTGCGCTGGTTTGAGTCTGGTCTCCAGTCAGACTTTACCAAAGCAGGTTTCAGGGGCAGCAGCACTTTTATGATAAAACTGAATTTATCTAGCAATTAAACGTTTGCCTTTCTGTTAGATTCTCCTGAGCTATATTATTCAAATCCGTCCACACACATTCTGTCCTTTTTTTTCCACTCAGAGAGAAATAAAAACTCACAGCAAGCGGAACTTCCGCACCGCCTGCCCCACACCTGTTCTATTTCTGCTTCTCCCTCTCCACTGCCCTCCCCTCTGTATCTCCTGCCCTGTCCATGGAAAGGCACCGGCGGAGGAGCACACGGGGCTGGCGCGGCGGCAACGGCCGGGAGAGCGGCCTCCACCTTGCACTCAGAGCGGCCCGTCTCCGCCCTGTGCATCCCCCAGTAACCCAGTGACTCTGAGAAGGGGCCAGGGGCACAGATGTGCTGGATGATCTGGGGCAAAGGTCGGTGAATGTAGTCAGGTGGACAGACTACAGTCCATAGTCAAGTGCAGGAATAATATCCAACAGACAGCCATTCAGTGTAAGAAAGTAGGAGAGGGGAGGAGACATGAATTACCTCTTTTTCACAGTTGGAGTTAAGTGTAAGCATAGCCATGGGGCTGTTGGGTGCGCTGCTCCCCGGCACTGGTGGCATGACATGATCGCCAGGCTGGTTTGGACATGGCAAGCTCAGGACTTGGTTGGCATGTTTATTTGCTAAAGTGGTAGAAAGGTACTGCTTTACCTGCTGCCTTTGGGCTTGCTGTATGTGGTACTTGGTGGGGTTTTCGAGGTGGGTCTGCACCTGGACATAGCCACGGAGGGAAGAGAAGACAGCACTGTTATTGTGAGTGCGGACAGCTCTTGTTTCAGGCACAGACATGAGACGTGCCAGTCCACCGACAGAATAAAAGATTAGCCCCTGCTGTGTACCAGGCACTGTGCTCATGCATTTTGATATTTCTGAAGTTCAAAGTCTAACTCTTAGGATTTGGGCTCATACTTTGCCCTGTTTTATTTCTCTGCTAATGAGCAGTATATCTCTTTAAAACCTGGGCCCTCCTTCTCATGTCTAATCACTAAAAATGTGCAACTACCTGTAGGGCAGAGATTTCCCCAACACGCCTGAAAGGGCTTATTAAGATCAAAACAAAAATCTAGAAGAAGGAACATAACTCAATTTATTTCTCCTTCCTTGGCAAACAGAACAGCTTCTTATTAAACAAACAAACAAACAAACAACTCTATAAGAAACAACTCTAAAATGGTTACAAAAATAAACAGAAACATTCTGATGATTAAATCAAGTAGTTGTGGATTAATTCCTCCCACTTTCATTTGGACATGATTATTCAACATTTTAATTTAGATCCTGAACTCAACCTACAAAGCAATTACACAGTGAGCATCTTCTTTCAAAGCATTAACACTCAAATGTATGTAAACACATGGATATTAAGCTACCAGGATATGTTTTCCTCCTTTCTTATTTCGTATAAACATTAATACAGAATGAGAAATACTTTTTTAAAGTCAATGATACTCAACTGAAAGTCACTTTTCCTTGATAAACACTGATCTTAAGAGCTAAGCAAAGAGCCGATGGAGATAGCACAGCCATGCAGCCGGGGAAAATCCTACCAATATTTACTGTGTTTAAAAATAAAACTGAATTACTTCTTATGGTATCAAACAATAACAGCATCAAACTACAATTATTTAATAACTATACTTACTGAAAACAGTGTGTCTTTGACAATAACATGAAAAGGTGAATTAGTTAACTTATTGCATTATATTTCAGAGACTGAAGAGGAATAAGAATGAAGCTCACCTGATAGTGATTATATTCTAGCATTTCCAGCATAACAACGTTTCAGGTGGCAATCCAAGGAGAAACGGTAGACTACTCACTCCCTCTGCCTTCTGTAAGTCCGATTCGGAGACTGACTGGCACAGAGAAGGCACCATACACAAGGTATCCCGAGACAGCACCGGAAACTTTGTCTCAGCAAACCCTGCTTATAATAACCTAAGCTAATTAGCTATGCGTGTAAAAAACCATTCACACAAGGGTTTTTTTTTTTGGAAGGCCTACAAGTTTGGTCTTAAATATTGATATAAATGTCCCCCCCTGGGCTGACGTCATGCTTTTTTTCATAAATGTAAAAGGACCTTTTAAAGTGATGAGCTATCAAAGTCAAACTCACTGTCAGATCAAGGCTGATTCACTATTCATCTTTAGTTCCAGTAGGATTAATAGACAATGCATTTCTCTCTCAGCAATAGGTTGGGAGAGACATGCCCCTTGGAGAACACAGTGCCTGAAAGCTGCCATTGCACATGAGACTTCCCACTGGCCAAATGACCGCTACTGTGGCTGCGGGAAGAGGTCCTCCCAGCGTGGAGGGGTCTGTGCTGAACCCGCAGGTCCATCAGCCTCATCCTCTTGCCTCCTGGTCTCAGTGTGCACCGACCCTGGGCTGGATAGATGTGTACCCTTCCTACTGACCGCAGTCAGGAGGAGGGCGCGCTCTCCCGAGTAACAGAAACATGTGCACGTGCACACCTGAACATATCTTTATGTGGATGTGTGTTCAAGTGGAACAAATGTCTCCCCAATTTAACCCTCCAATTAGAAAGCATTAACATTTTTACTAAAAATTTTTTAATATAATTCTTGGGGCTAAAGACGAGTTATCACAGACACAGCTGATGCATACATGTTTATTCCTGTATTCATGCCATTATTTACTGTTATGATATGCTCCACACTGTGCAAGGCATAGATACACATTGTGGACGAACAGATATGGTTGTCAACTTTATGAAACTTATAGTCTGAAGCGAGACAAAATGCTAACAAATATACATCTAAAATTATGATAATGGTTAATATTCGCTGGTATATTGGGAGCTATTTTAAGCATAAAAATTTGCAATTCAGTAGTTCTGTCCAAATGGTCAGGATAATGAAGTCCTTTCGGCTGCAGCCTCAAACTGTTTCCAGTGGCTGACCTCACACGCAGAGGTTCACAGAGACATGCTAAGCTTCATAAAGGGCCCAGACACGATAGTAATGAGGACAGTAGACATTACTAAAATAAACACAAAATGAGGGCAATGAGTGCAAAGTGCTTATTTCACTCTTACACTTGAAAAAGAAAAGGCTACACATTTAAAAATAAATGCTAATTCACCAGCAGATCCTTATTCTGTGGTGGATCAGAATTTTATGCTTTGGTGAGGGAAGATGCCACTGGGTCTCTAGCTTTGCCATGAGGTCTTCACAACACCCAGGTGGGGTCACCAGTGCGGGCCGTCAGTGTCCTAGTCCCAGCGGCGTTGCGAACAGACTGGCTACCACACTACGCAGAGGCGAGACCATCCAGCTGTTTCGGATGCAAACACCTGAAACGGGAACACGGGTGAGGTTCACGAGCTATGGGGCAGTCCTAGGGAGCGGTGAGTGTGTGGCAAACTGGAGGACGCCACGGCACCTGAAGGAGGGGACACAGCGGCAGCTGGCGGTGGCGTGTGGGAACATCGGCCCCTGCTTCAGTTCAGCGGGCAATCTGGCTTTGAGTGAAATCTCCCAGGTTAAAAAAATGACACCCAACTGTTTGATTTTTCACATCGTGTAAGACAACCAAACTCAGCCCACAGGCCTGTGGCACGTGGTCTCAGCCCTCCCGTCAGCACAGTCTTCAGTGTGGGGCCCGGGGCGGTCTGAGAACGCAGTGTCCACGGCAGGCAGTGTCCACGGCAGGCAGTGTCCACGGCAGGCACTTCGGCTCCCTGAGGGGCAGGTGCCTCCCGGCCAGCGGGCAGCTCAGCAGGAATTCGAAAACTGGGTTCCAAGTCCGACTCTGCAAGTTGCTGCTTACATGGTCTTCCACATTAACATTCCTCGTGCTCAGTGGGGGTGACAACAGGTCCTGCCACCAGGTGTTGGTGGCCTGAGGTGCCGTCGCGCCTGTGGGAGAGGACGGTGCAGCGGGAGCAGCGCCCCCACACGTCCTGTCACAGCCTTTCCAACTCCTCCCACTTGTCGTGTCTGTGGCTACACCTACCAGTACTTTACATACTAGGAATTAAAACTGAGAAAATTTTAAAACACAAGGTTACATACTAGCACATATTTCACTGGGCATCAGAACAATGCCATTTTAACACATCAAGCAGCATTTATAAAACTCTTCTGCATGCTCGTGAGATGGGTAGAAGAAAGAAATGAACTTCTTGGTACTATTATGAAAATAGCTTACACCTGGCAGGGCCACGGCCAGCGTCTTGAGCACCCCAGGGCTCTCTGATCCCACTTGGAGAACACTGACCTGGTCAATTAGCACTCTGCATCCTCACCGCACCACTGAGCCCTGCCATTCACCCAGAGAGGCGAGCGGGACACAGAGGCTGTCACTCGCCCTCCCCACAGATGCTGCGGGAAGACACGCACCAGAGCCCCCAAAGCATCACAGCGAGGCTCTACAGCTCTCTATTTTAAAAGCCATATAAATATTACTTTCTGTCTTTGACCCTAAACCATAGCCTTGTAATTAGTGACTTCCCTTCATTCATTTTAAGTAGCCAGCAAATGAGCAAACAAATAAAATATATGTGGCATTAAACATCTGCACAAATTCTTAATACTTTCTGCATTTTTTTGACCTTCCAACCAACTACCTAAGTTAAGGAATTAGGATAGCAAAAGTTAGGTAGCTCAGCACTTGATAAAATAAAGCTAAAAAACTTTATACTCTATCAAAATATCATTTTTTTCCAATAAAATGTTTATTTCACATAAGGAATGATCACTATCTGGTTAAAGCGGGAAAAACCCAAAGGCTTTGAAACTTTGCTTCCTGTTCCTTGTTGTGCTGCGTGTCCTTGGCGCAGCAATGGCCCCTGGGGACTCTGAGAGCTGCCCTGGGTGTCCTGCCCTCCGCAGCCTGCTCAGCTCCTGCAGACCCATGCGCATGGCTGCTTCTAGGGAGTCCATCTGTCTTGCATTTGGTCTCTTTCATTTCTTGCCACCTTCTGTTTTTCTCAGCATTATTCCTTTTCCAAAGAACGCGCCTGCTCCGGATGTGCCGGAAATCGGATAGCTTCAGTTTGGTCATGTCTGTCTCCAGCGATGATTTAGGCTACAGCTACCTCCTGGCCCCTTTGCCTTCCTTCCTTCAGACGTGGAGTTGACAGCAGGAGGACTGGAGTGGGTCATCTTCTGACTGTCACACTCTAGTTTTGCCCCCCCCCCCCGGTGACAGTGGAGGCCACTTCCGTCTGAAGGCGTCCTGGCGCACCCCGGGTGAGACGGTGTCCACAGACACTGACCAGGTGATCCGCGGGAGGGAACTAATCCCCAGCTGAGTCCACGGTTCTCTAGTCCCTGTACTAGCTACAAACCAGAATATGATAAGTGAAATTGAGTGAAAATTCCATATCCTTTTAGTTTATAATTGATTTTATTTCTTAAACAAGTCAACAAAGTGTTCCAATTTCTTATTTTATGTTTAGATAGAGAGTGTGCTCTTCTGCTCAGTAGTTTAAGGAAAAGTAAAGAAACTGTGATCCCACCCGTGCTGCTCCCCACCCCATGCTCCACATTGTCATCTCGTAACAGTTACACAGGTCGCCCACTTCAGCGCCGTCCTGCAAACATGGCCAAACGGAGAATGCTAGCTGGCTTCCTCAAATGACTTGGCAAAGAATTGTCCAGGGTCACATCTGGTAGGTGCCACAATTATAATGTTGCCACAGATGAAAAAAAAAAAAAAAAACTCAAGCCCAGAACATGTCTCA